CCGATAATCCTAGTGGTCAATGAGGGCCATGTAAAATGATAAACTTAGAAGGAATGAGTACAAGTCATAAGGGAAGTTGGTGACTTGATGACAGGGGAGCCGACGACCGATCCCCGGTGAATGGCAGCCGTAACTATAACGGTCCTAAGGAACGAAATTCCTTGTGGGATAAGTTTCAACCCGCACGAAAGGTGTAACGATCTCTGGTCATCTGTCTAAGATTTAATATTCTATGAGTTTGCTTGGCAACCAAATATAGTACGGTTGGTTGTCTGGTGAACACACAAGCTATAGCTTAGACACTGTGGATATAAGAGAAACTATAATAATCATCCACAAGTTACTTCAGAAAAATGTGAAAATAATGATGTTGAGAAAGAGTTGAAATGTTGTGGTTGATGGATGACCATATGCTTGCTCCTCCCCCATTTATTATTGGATGTTAAAATTTTGTCTGCAGGCCGATGAGCGGGCTGTGTTGAAACATTTCAAGTGGCCCGAGAAGAAAGCCGATGCCATGCGAGAAGCAGCCATAGAATACCGGGCGCTTAAACTGTTGGAAAATGAGATCTCTTTGTACAAGGATGACACTAATTCTCCATGTGAGGCAGCCCTGAAGAAGATGGCGAGCTTATTAGACAAGTTAGATCTTCTTACACTTTTTGATACCTTTTCATTATCCAAATCGCATCTGGTCTTGATTTTTACTTCTTTCCTCATATAATGAAAGGTCGGAGCGAGGCATACAACGCTTAATCGGGCTTCGAAATACCGTAATGCATTCTTATCAGGACCTAAAACTCCCAACAAATTGGATGCTAGACTCCGGTATCACGAGTAAGGTATGGTTTCTTTCCAACTTGGCAAACAAACACGAAATCGCTCATCAAATCACATCCCTAAATTCTCTAACCAATCCATTTTCATGCAACGTACAATTTCATCAACCATTTCCAGATAAAGCAAGCTTCTATGAATCTGGCGAAGATGTACATGAAAAGGGTGAAAACAGAGCTGAATTCGATTCGCAGTTCGGACAAAGAATCCAACCGGGAGTCGCTCCTACTCCAGGGAGTTCACTTCGTATACAGAACTCACCAGGTAACAAGCTACTCTCAAACTTTCATATAGCATTATAATAGCATTAGAAGATAAAAATGGAGGTTGTGATGCAAATAAATGGGTTCTGGTTGGGCAGTTTGCTGGTGGGCTCGATTCAGAAACGCTGTGTGCTTTTGAGGAAATAAAGCAATGGGTCCCAAGACAAGTGGTGGGAGGGTCCCATTCGCAACAGGGATGGATAGTTGGCATACCATCATCGTAATCAAGTAACAATACTTGTGTGCCTTGTGTAAAATATTTGAGTGTATATTTATTATGCAAAATTGAGGTAGGAGTAGCTGAGTAAGTAAGATAGATTATGTTAGTGAAGGAGACATTTGGTTGCTTTGTAGTGGCTGGCTTAAAGAGATGTTTTCAAATATTAGTAGTTTTTTTTTTTTTTTTTTTTTTTTA